GCCCACATGTACAAATACCATGGCTGTGACTGGTTAGCTCTAGGTACAGCCCCCACACATGCAAAGAGTTCATACTCTCTTCTACAAGATGGACTTTAGACAGGCACAAACCAGGAAAATTTGGACTGTTTTCCTGTTCCAGATGATAATGCAAAGTTCCTGAAAACAGAGTGGGGGGTCTGGACAGCGATTAAGAAACACACACAATATTTGGGTGTGATGAGAACATTGCATATTCCCTTTGATCCCATCCTATGTGCAGTGGGGGGTTTACAGGCTTAAAAATGGCTAGAGGGCATAATGAGATAACATTAAATTACTATAGCAATATACCTACTACTGATTTTGTTTTAAGCCAGCAAACGTACCTTATAAGATATCTTAGTCTTCTTTATGGAGTAAAGAAGGGATGACCAAGGAAGACTCTGCAGAAGGAGGCAATGGCAAACCACCTCTGTTTCTCATTTGCCTTGAAAGCCCCTTGCTGGGGTCACCATAAGTCAGCTGTGACTTAACAGCATGTACATATGAAAATACAGATTTTATACAAAGTCCAAGCCATGAAGCCCTTGTATCAAGGTTCTAGCCTTGGGTGGGGGTGGGGGGGGGACCCACTGTCTAAAACACTAAAAATACTACCTACAAAATCAGATTGCTCTAGTGAAACCTATCACATTAGAAACACATTTAATGAGAAGAGCAAGAGGGGATGGAATTCTCTGCAACAGTGAATTTACACAAAGCTGATGCTCCTACTGTTAGACCACTGGTCCATCTAACTCAGCAGTACCCAGTCTGACTCTCAGCAGCTGTTCACCAGCAGAAGGTCTTTTCCATTCCAACACCTACTACCTGAAATCCTTTTGACTGGAGATGCTAGAGAGAGATCCTGGAAAGAATGTGCTGTCCCGCTGAGCCATTGTTTGAGCATTGTTTGAGAATAACTTCCATTCCCTTTCCTTCAGAAAAGTTTCAGATCCAAAAATGTATTCCACGTGCTCAGCGTAAAGTAGTCCTCAGTCTATCTTGGATATAACAGTCACTCTCTGATGATGATGCCCAAATGAGTGGTTTTCAAGTGATATATTAAATTCTTGGTACCTGGAGTCTTGTGGATGCTTCAATTATAATTATAGTGAGGCTTGTTGGAAAACAGTACTTGAGTCATAACACTAGAAGAAGCTGGGGCCCAGCATGTGTGGAAGTTAATCTGAAGGCCAAAACAACAATGGTTTGTTCGTTAGTCAACAATGGGTCTACAAAGAAAAATCCTGTGGGATTTAATGCAGTTCTGCAGGGCCTGCAAAATGGAGATGTTCCACCAGCATTGCATTGTTGTCACTTGCATTGTCTTTTGTCCACCTGCTCCCGCCAGTATCAGTTGCCATCCTCCTGCAAGCATGTGAGGAGCCTGTGTGGGAGCAGATGGAGGTAGATTGGTTGAACAGTACCATCTGGTATTATTGCTGAAATTGTTGGTATTAATTGTTCTTAACGTGATTGGGTTTTTAATTATTGTTACATCTTAAATGTTTGATTATATATTTATTGTTGCTGTAACACGCCCTGAGCCTGTTTGTGGGGGTGGGAGGGCTAGAAGCCAAATAAATAAATGATAAATAATTCCCTATGTACAAAGTTTGTAAAATGAGACGAGATATCCAGTTTGTTTCCATAGCATTTATTCCAGAAACTTCTGACCCCAAAAATTAGTAAATGAGCAGCAATACCATTTTTTAAAAAATATTTTAAAAGATAAACAGTATATACATTTGAACATCAATGTGAATGTCTTCAGCTTCAGTTCTGAAGTCATAATGTATGTTGGTAACAAACAAGACACCGACTAGAACTGAATGAGTCCCTCACTAGTGATGGATGAGACTCGCCCACCACTGGCGAAATGCTTATAAGCATCTCAGATAATCATCAGGTGCTGGTCTGAAAGGAGTGGAGACATGCCTGGTGAGATAGGAAACTAGAATATAAATCAGGCTTCAGTCCTATAGTGGACACTTACTTGGGAATAAGCTACACTAAAATCAATGAGACTTATTTCTAAGTAAGCAGTCGTACTATTATTTGTTATGTGATCCAGATTATTTCAGTAGAACTCCTTAAAAACAATGTAATTTCATATAATAAAAAGTGGAGTTGTCACCCATTTAAAGAAATCCATGGATTATATCTCTATACATCTGCATATAAATAAAATATATCAGAAGAAAATATATACTTTCTTTTTAGATGATGCATGCATGTACCACAGCAT